TTACGGATGCTTTATTGGTAGTGTGGTACCGACCTGGTTGATCGACTACTGATTTTCAGATATTGCTATCTGGCGCAGAAGAATTAGAGAAGTATTCCTCATGGGATAATCGTGTATGGGAGATGTGTTAGACATTCGGGCGGTGGATTTGGGATCAAATATAGTAATTCGTGTGTTCTATGGATTTGGAGATTCGGAGTTCTCAGGAGCAGATTGTTTCATGGTTATGGACTGAGAAGTTGTGGCCGAAGCTAGCCAGATGATAGTATGTGTTATGATTTGGCATCATGGACTTTCGGAGGGTTATTTATCTATTTGTGGGTGACCAGAGTTTATTTGGGGTCCATTGGTAGGCCCAATTAGAATGTGTATTATGCACCGGGTCGGATTTGTTGGCTCCATACTGTTATGGTTGAGGGATGTGCCATTCAGCTGTTGTTGAGCTCATTCGTGTTCTGATATGATCTATGAGTTACTCACATATGCTACAAGGAGTTGTCATTCGTTAGTTATATTCACACATGGTGCGGTTCTATTGGGGCATTATAGCAAAATTTAAGCGAGATAGGTATTTGGGTATTGCATGGTTGATAGCGTATTGGTTATGTTCTTTCGGGTTTTGTGTGGCATTGTGTCATTTGCTCCTCCGTGGTTATAGTAATGCATTTTGGGTACTTGAAGTCGTATTGCGCATGGTTATTGATTTTTAGCAGGGAGGCTTGAGATATTTCATATGGACCAGTATTTGGATAGGGTCGCGCATTGCACCTGAGTTATGTGGAGATATGATCCTTTGTGTTAGATTCGTATTTTATGGTTCTATGGTGTGATAGGTTTTATGCATTGCGTTGTGGTGGGACTTGTTGATCTTGCGAAATGGTTCTCTCATTTGAGTCATTTTCCATGATTGAGTACATTTGGAATGTTGCTTATTGGTGCACGGATTGCACGGTTGTGGCTTCAGATTGTGTTGATGTGGCATGTCTATAGAGTAAATGGTATTTGATAAGACGAGCTCATTGGATCTAGGATGGATACTATCTGAAATGATTACACATGGTTGGAAGGATAATATCGAAAGTCGGCTTAAAAAGTGGCTATAGTTCTTGTCGAAGGAGTGGGAGCTCCATGACTTGTTGATTTGATGAATGGTCATGAGTTTCCGTGTATTTCTTTCATCATCGGCAGTGTACAAAGGTTGTAGAGTGAGGCTTTGTTTGATATGAGGTTTATTACCGCTATTGGATTATTTTGAGCAGCTAATATGATTAGAAATTATCGCTATGAGTATTTGAGTTATGCAGTATATCATATGATTACATCTTGGGTTATGGTGAAGGCTTGATACAACTTGTTCAGACTTATGTAGTCTGTAGATACAAGATTCTGATCTTATAGAAATTCTGGATGTTGGAAATTGAATTCTAAGGCTTATGGGCTAAGTTTGAAGTAACGATCTTCAATTATGTTGTGTTGTCGGGCCTATATAGAATAGGGTGACATGGGATCACCCCCGGGTATGTGCATGGTAAGGTTACACGGTGATTTGATGGCTTTTGGAACAACTCTTGGCACGTTCGAGGACGAACGTATGTTTAAATGGGAAAGAATGTAACGACCCGACCGGTCGTTTTGAGCATTTACACTTCGCTCGGTTGTTTGAAGGCATAGTAGCTCCGTATGATGTATTATGACTTATGTGCATCATCGGTTTTCGTTCTCAAGTTATTCGGAATTGATTTGGAAGAATGATTCTCAGCTAGAAGCTTTAAATTTGAAAGGGTTGATCAAGTTTGACTTTTAAGTATTTGACCTCTGATTGGATTTTTGATGGTTTTGTTAGCTCCATTGGGTGATTTTGGACTTAGGAGCGCATCTAGATTCTGATTTGGAGGTCCGTAGTAGAATTTGGCTTGAAATGACGAAAGTTGGAATTTTGGAAAGTTTGACCGGGAGTGGACTTTTTGATATCGGGGTTGGATTCCCATTCCGGAAGTTGGAGCAGGTCTGTAATGTCAAATGTGACTTATGTGCAAAATTTGAGGCCAATCGAACGTGATTTGATAGGTTTCGGCATCGGTTGTGGATGTTTAAAGTTTCAGAGTTTATTGATTTTGAGTTGAGGTTTGATTCATCGTTTCGATGTTGTTATGTGTGTTTTGAGGCCTCGAGTAGGTCCGTGTTATGTTCTGGACTTGTTGGTATGTTTGGACGGGGCCCCAATGGGCTCGGGCGTGTTTCGCATTGATTTCGGATCATTTTCCTTCATGTTTCCACTGTTGTGTTCTGCTGGTTTCTGGTGTCTCAATCCTTTATCGCGTTCGCGTGGCAAGTGCCGCGAATGCGTAGTGTATTCTGATGGCAGCAGAAAATTGTTCTTCGCGATCACAAAGTATGTCCCGCGTTGGCATAGAGTTGGGGCAAGTCCTCTTCGCCTTCGCATATGGAGGATCGCGTTCGCGTAGTGTTGAGGTGGGCAACTGGGAATTGGAGTGTTCTTCTATGTGACCGTGGAAGGTTAGTCGCGTTCGCGAAGCTTTGGCAGCAGTGTTCATTACGTTCGCGTGGGGTGTATCACGAACGCGTAGAGTCTTTTGTGGCAGTGTGAGTTTTATTCATCGCGAACACGATGAATTTCCCGCTTTCGCGGAAGAGGAGGCCTGGGCAGATTATAAAGTACTCTATTTCGAGGGTTTCAGCCATTTTTACATTTTTGGAGCTATGGAGCACGGAGTGAGGCGATTCTTGAAGCAATTTTCACCATATAAATTGGGATAACCGTTCTCTACTCGGTTTTGGTTATATTTCATGAATCTATCTTTGATTTTAGTGTTTGGTTGTGAAATTTAAAGAGGGAATTGGGGGTTTTGACCTAAAGTTTTATAATGTGAATTTTTGAGTTTTGTACATTGATTCGGAGTCGAATTTGAGTGAAACTAGTATGGTTAGACTCGTAATTAATTAGGTTGTCGGATTTTGTAAGTTTTGTCGGGTTCCGAGGTGCGGGCCCGGGCTTTGACTTTTTGCTGATTTTGGGCTTTTGACTAAAGATTCGACCTTTATCGATTGGGTTTGCTTCGTTTAGCATTATTTGATGTACTTGAGTTGCTTTTGGTTAGGTGACGTTCGGAGGTCGGTACGCACGAGATGGCTGTTGTGGAGTATCACTTGGCTTGCTCGGTATTGGAATTTTTTTGTTAAAGGTAAGTATCTCTTCTAAACTTAGTGCTGAGGGTATGAAACCCCGAATTACATGCTAGGTGACGGGCGTGTGGCCGTGCACCTGTGAATTGTGACTTCGTTGTTTTCATGGCACTATATAGTGGCCCTATTTTGTTGATATATGTGTTTCACCATGTGATAAAGTAACTGAGCTATCAATCATGCTAGATATCATGTTTAGGCTTTATGCTGATATTGCTAGGACCCATAGTTGTCGTTTCTTGCTGTCATCTTACTGATGTCATTGATATTTCGTACTCAGTTCATATGTTAGTCTCAGTTGTTATTTATTGATACATCATATCATTGTTGTCGGGCTAGTTTCATGACATTGTGAGCCCGTGAGTGAGACTGGAGAGATTGATTACTGAGTGAGGCTGAGAGCCTGATTATGAGTGATAGTTATGGGATCGGAGTGCATGCCGTAGCATGCTATATTGATTTATGCCTGGATCTTGCTTATGATAGCGCTTGGACTGTAGGAGCCCCTCTGGAGGTCGCACACACCCCTAGTGAGCGCGGTTGATTATATTGAGGGATGGATCTTCCCTGGGCATGGATCTTGTCCGAAGCATTTATATACCTGTGGATGGATCTTTCCCACGGGCTGGATTTGGCCCTACTCAGTACTGAGTGACTGTTGGTCAGTTGATGTATATATTCCGGGATGGATCTTCCCTTGGACGGATTGGCCATATACAGTATTGAGTGATTGAGTACAGTGTGAGACAGTGAGATTGAGTACTCTGAGAGTGTGAGTACATGAGTTCATCTCATAGATACATATGGCATTGACATGCACACATGACATATAGGCATAGAGATACATTTTTCTCATGTTGCATGGTATCACGTCATTCATGACTTCTCACACATATTGATATACGGACATAGAGAGGTATTTTACACTTGCTATCTGGAAAAAAAATGAAACATCTTATTTATTGTGGAAAGGATTTTTGGGAAAAATTTACAGTTTTTCAAACTTACTCATATTTTCGATGTTTTCGATAAAGGATTTGGGTTTTCACTGATATACTTGAAATGCAGAACTAATTTTCGGGAAACTACGAAAAAGATGAGCATTTTATCTCTGAGTAACTTCTTTCATTACTTGCTTTGTATTGTTATGAACTATTATTGGTTATTGGATGTTGGACCCGACCTTTTTTCCAGCTCGTCAGTACTTTCAACCTAAGATTAGGTTTGCTACTTATTGAGTACATGGGGTCGGTTGTACTCATACTACACTTCTGCACCTTTCGTGCAGATGTTTGGCTGCTAATGTTGTTGTGTTCGATGGGAGCTGAGTTTGAAGATGTTCCTGCGTTCCGGTTGTAGCTGCCTATTGTTCACGGTAGCCTTATATTCATAAAATTCTGTTTATGTACTTTCAATCAGATGATGTATTTACTTCGTACGAGCTTTGTAAACTTTATTCTTAGAAGCTCATGATTTGTACTACCAGTACTTGGGGAATGCATCAGATTCAGATAATTCCTTTTGTTTAATTGTCTCATTAATATTGTTGAAATTGGATAGTTAGTAGTTGGCTTACCTAGCGGGTTGAGTTAGGTACCATCACGGTGGATTTTGGGTGGTGACAGTTCTTCAGTGTAATATTAAATGTAAAAATAAGAAAAATAAAATAAAAAATTTCACCATAAAAAAGTTGTTGGTGGGTGAAATGTCTCACTCAAGTGTGGAATTTTTTTTGACTTGACAAACCTTGGAACAAGTTTTCATTTTTTTTTCTTTAAAAAACATTTCTTCTCAGCCTAGTGCAATAACCAACCATGGAAATCAAAAATAAAAAATTTCTCTTTTTCCTGCAATTTGTACTCTTCTCGTGCTTCTGTTTTGGAGCTAACACCATCACTGCAAATGAGACCTTTTCCCTTGGAGATACCCTTGATGCGGACAAAACCATAACTATGAGCGTAACAGTAGTTTCTTTGGGTGGAAAATTTGAGATGGGCTTCTTCAAACCAGGTAATCTTTCTAAGTATTATATGTTGGAAAAAAAAATAATTTGGGAGAGCAAGACAACAAAACACTCAAACACTCACAACTCACTTTAAGAATAGAGAAGAAATGATATTTTTCATTCAACTTGACTTGTTCCAAATGGCTAGCATACATGGGTATTTATAGTAGAACTCCTACATGTATCTAGCCTAAACTTCATGTAAACACACTAACTAAATTCACATTAGTCTACACTAGTTCATACATCTCATAATGAAGTTCACATTAGTCTACACTAGTTCATACATATCATACTAATATGAACTAATCTAAACATATTTAATATAAATGTGAACTAATGGAAACAAGTTTATTATAATTTTAACATCCCCCCTTAAACTTGTTTCATCACTCCAAGCGCCATCCTTAACTTTTGAAAAACTTCAATCTTTAATGGCTTGGTAAAAATATCCGCAATTTGATCTTGCGACTTCACATGCTCAAGCTCCACAACTTTATTAGATATACAATCTCTAATAAAGTGATACCTTGTATCTATATGCTTGCTCCTTTCATGAAATACAGGATTTTTGGCTAACTCGATAGCCGACTTGTTGTCAACAAAAATCTTTGTGGCATCCTTTTGTGGTTGGTGAAGTTCCTCCAACAAACTTCTTAACCAAATTGCATGACAAACACATGAGCAAGCTGCAACATACTCAGCCTCACAAGTTGACAAAGTAACAATTGGTTGTTTTTTAGAATTCCATGTAAATGCAGAATTTCCAAGAAAGAAAACAAACCCAGTAGTACTTTTACGATCATCAATATCACCAGCCCAATCACTATCACAATATCCCACAAACTTAGAATCCTTAGAAGATGAATAAAGAATTCCATAATCAAGTGTATCTTTGATGTACCGAAGTATTCTTTTTGCTACCTTTAAATGGGAGGTAGTAGGAGCTTCCATAAAGCGGCTCACAAGTCCAACACCATAAAGAATATCCGGCCTTGTGCATGTCAAGTACCTTAAGCTTCCAACAAGACTCTTGAAAAATGTGGAATTTACATTTTCTCCATCTCCATGCTTGGATATTTTAACTCCACATTCAACGGGGGTGCTCACGGGATTGCAATTATCCATCTCGAACTTCTTGAGAGTTTCCTTTGCATATTCTCCTTGAGAAATAAAAATCCCATCCTTCCTTTGTTGCACTTGAATGCCAAGATAGTAGGACATTAATCCAATGTCCGTCATCTCAAATTCTCTAGCCATTGCTTCCTTGAATTCTTCAAACATCTTAGGATTATTTCCTGTAAAAATCAAGTCATCTACATACAAGCAAACAAGTAAAATGTCTCCATTTTTAGCAATTTTTACATAAAGTGCATGTTCATGTGGACATTTTGAAAAACCATTTGCTTGAAAATATTTATCAATTCTACTATTCCAAGCCCGCGGAGCTTGCTTCAACCCATATAAAGCCTTTTTCAATTTCAAGACTTTATTTTCTTGTCCTTCAACCTTATAGCCCAAACGGTTGATCAATGTAGACTTCTTCCTCCAATCGACCATTCAA